TACATACATACATACATACATACATGATCTTTATCTATACTCGAATTTACAGGGTAGCTCAACGAATTAATATCTTCAAGAAACTAATATCTTCGAGACACTCTATTATAATTGTTAATAGTAAGCAATCATTTGTAATGATTGTCAAAAAGTCACGGGGCAGACATTGTGCAACACCACTGTAATTTGGTATCTTGTCAAAGCATTTTCTTTGGTTTAGCAGTGGTTTGGAAATTCATTTGCTAATGGTAAGAAAAACCAGGAATCTTCCACTTTGGCAAATGGTACACGCGTCTACTAAAGGAAACAAAAAAAGCGGGAAAAGTGAATTACTTAAATCGGAAGACCAAGTTTTCTGGAATTTTCCAACCGAAATGACACGTACCATTTGTTTTCCAACCGAGATTTCCATTCTGGGTAAATGGTGAACACTTCTAGACTCTTTGTATCTATCTGCATGATGAGGTTTCCATCCTCTTCTCATGACCACTTCCTTCGCCCGGCTGCCAATATGGCTGCTCGTCTTACGCTTCTATTTTTGTGCACTAATTCAGAATCATCATCTGAACAAAGAGAATCAGGGTCTTTGTTGGCTGTCTTGAAAATACCTGGTATCTTGGTATTGGGTGAGTAATTCTTGATTATATTTAATTTTCTTGAAATAAGAACGATGTAGCATTAGTGCGCTTGTCCCGCATCCCTGAGTTTGAATTTTTTTAACATTACAGTTTCTGGTCTAATGTGATGTCTTTCCCTTTTCTAGCATCGTGTATTCTTCTGAGTGGTGTCGTACTGGGCTTCCTTGATCCTACCTTATCACCACACATGGCCGAGGTACGTGCAAGATTTTAACATACAAAAAATTGCAATATCGCTATATTTATGTTTGAAAGAAGAGATAACTAGCTAGAAACTAGCGTGAGCTGCGTCGGTGTTTCTAATGAAACAGTAATGATGAAAAGGTAAATTATACACCGTGAAAAAGATGAAAAAATTGGTCTTACTGATGTTTCGAACGTTAGTCCTTCGTCGGAGTAAAAGAGCAAATTTATTTATGTTCGTTGATTCACGAATAAAATGCGATGTAAAGCGCGCAACTTTGTTTACTACCGTTATCGTTGAATCTTGATGTTTCGTTCGCCGACTAGCATTTCAACGACCGTCAATCAAAAAACTGAAATAAAAAACATTAGCATATACCAACTTGTGTACTTCCTAAGAACGCGCGTGCTCATTGGTTAATTGGAGGTGAATTACAAAAAGATTGTATACGCTACACCCCCAGAAATACAACCGTATGTAAATTTGTCATTTTTCAATAAAAGTTTTCTCGGCCGAAATAACACCCGACATAATGAATCTTTGTAGGATTACTAAAATAAAGGTGTTTCATGGTATTGGTTTTTCACTCAGTTTGATTTTAACTGTTTCGAATTTTCGGCTGCCATTTTGGCAAAGGGTCTATTGTCATGTTATGTTTTTGTTGGTTTAGTTTGGACTGAATGCGTCTAAGATCGGCCTGATGTTCCTGCTGATTGGAGCCGTGTATGCTATCTCTGCCCCGTTTGTTGGCTGGATAGGAGACAAGACGGTGAGTCAACCACTTTATTGGAAACCATTAACTTAGCCTCTTTAGTGAGAATAAACCAAATAATTCCATTTGTGCGTAAATCATGCTTTTCTTTTTCGCTGCTTTCTCTGCTTTTTCTGCTTTCACTGCTTTCTCTGCTTTCACTGCTTTCACTGCTTTTACTGCTTTCACTGCTTTCTCTGCTTTCACTGCTTTCACTGCTTTCTCTGCTTTCTCTGCTTAATCACTGCTTTCTCTGCTTTCACTACTTTCTCTGCTTTCTCTGCTTTCACTGCTTTCTCTGCTTTCACTGCTTTGACCCTGCTCGAAAGCAAAACTAGAAAATTTTGGTATTTTGTGAGCGCCCTCTTCCCCATAGTACCGATCCTTTTCCCCGTAAGTCCCATGCTCCCTAGACAGGCTTAGTACATTCAAGAACGCCATAGTTATATGGTTTGTAGTTTGATAGCAACGAATATAAGGATTAATGTATTTATATAAAGTAAGGATTTCGGATTAAACAGTAAACTTTCCCGATTTTATGGACACCTCGCTTAAAAATTACGGTCGAGAGCAAAATCACCGGGAAAATACTAACACAATTGATGGTCCTGAGAGTTGACTGTATGGGGTTCCCGCAAGGCAAAAGTTGACTGGTGTATATGGAGTCCTTTTTGCTTTTATCTATTTTTTGTCAAGCAAGGGATAAAGTGTTGGTATTGTTGTTCTCCAGGGTAGAACACGTATTCTGATAGTAATCGGAGTTCTTCTTGGAGTTCTTGGATACCTGGGCCTTGGACCTACTCCTCTTATATCTTTTCTTCCACAAAAGTAAGTTCTTACTATCTTATTTGTTAAGCTATTACTGAATTGTTATAAAATTGTGGTGCCAGGGGATCCATCCATCCATTCACATATCCGTTCATTCGTCCGTCCCTCTATCCATCCATTCTAACGATCCATCTACCCATCCATCCTTCCATCCGGTTTCCATTTATCCATTTATTCACTTATTCAACCATCTATCCTTTCTTTACACGCCCGTTTATCCGTTCTATCCCGCGTCCTTCCCTCTATCCATCTGTCCATTTAACCGATCCATCCTCCCACCCCTCCCTCCCTCCCTCCCTCCTCCTTCTCTCCCTCCTCCCTCTCTCCCTCCTTCCCTTCCTCCTCCCTCTCTCCCTCCTTCCTTTCCTCCTCCCTCCCTCCCTCCCGCCATCCCTCCCTCCTTCCCTCTCTCCCAAGACCGGGAATCGAACCTGGGTCGCCTCGGTAAAAGGCTCTCACCGCTACACAACCCGTGCTTTCCAACAACTACTTGCTCTTTCATTTTCATTGATCACTTATTATCTTTCTTTCTAGGAAAGTATGGATGGCTGCAATAGCATTAATGATTCTTGGATTATCCTACAGTTTCTACTTGGTTCCTGTGATGCCTGACATGATGGCCACAGCTTTGTATGTTATCTATTTACATCCTTGTAAATCCTAGTATTAATAGTATTATTTATATTAATTGAGTTCTGGGGATATATGGATAGCGCCCTGATCCTGTCAAGCTAATAGGGCTTTTAAGTTGTGACGTATTTCCGGGTCCAATCACACAAAAGATCGCTAAAATCGTGCCACAACCTATTCCCAGGATTTATGGCTCTACCTTCAACAATTAGATATATGAAAAGAGAATCCTGCTATGAAGAAAAAACACACAAAGTGTCTGTAGAAGTAATTATTCATTTGGACCCGGAAGGGGTTTTACGTTCTAATTACGTCACACTTATTAGCTCTATAGGCCCCTTGCATGTGACGTCATAGCAGCTCAATTTAGAAGACAAAATAAAAGAATTTCAATCTCCTGAGAATTGAGCTGCATTCTGACGTACTCCAAGGGGTCTGTACTCCATTTTCGAGTTTTCTGCTGCTCAGGGTTATCCTCGATTTTGTGCAGAATACTCATGTGTTCCAGTGAAGGTCCGTGGAATTTCATAGTGTTTGTATTGGTAAAGTTGTGCATTCTTTACTTTACCATTGGTATTTGTGAATATTTAGACACTGATTCAAGGCTAACCCTGGGTAACTGAGTCTGTAATCAAGGAACACAGCGGTAATTTGGAACTCGAAAAAGGTCTATTTTAGCTCAATCAGTGCCTCATAGGGTACATAAAACCCTCGTACTAAGAAAAGTATTATTATTATCCTTTTTATCTTCTCATTCTAATTACCCAGGGAACATGGACTACCGGATGATATCAGAACACATGGAGTATTATCAGGAATATTTGGATCATTGATTAGTATAGGGTAAGTTATCAAAGTCCAAAGTGTTGGAATAGGCCGTCGTGCTACTGCTACCAAAATGCGCCTCGACTTTCTTTTATTATTCAAATATGTATTTTCCACTACTGGTGCTAATTAACTGAACAAAAGAAAGTGTGCAAGGGATTCTGGTAGTGGTAGTAAATGAAGCCATAATGCAAGAGACCTATTCTGCACTATAGTACTAAGTTCAATAGACTTAGTACCTCTTCGTTCAAGTACCGTACTGCAACAATGTTACATTATTAACAAACAGACTAAGGTGCAGGTAAGACTAAGGTTGAACGTCAAACTTCACATGAGTCGAACCTAATGACATCAAAGAAGACCGCCTTGTTATCCATTGTTTCAATTAGGTTAGGCTCATGTGAAGTTCGACTTTTCAACTTATATAACCTCTATGTGTTTAATATCTGTTTTGGTATAATTTTTTCAGTGCTTTCCTTGGTCCGACTATTGGTGGTACGATGAACCATTATTTAGGATTCAACTGGTCAGCTACTGTGAGTATCATAGAGAGATTTTCACATGGGTCGGAAACAATACGATAACTTATTCGTAGCCGTGTCGTATCTTACCGTAGCCGTGTCGTAGCCGTGTCGTATCTTACCTTAGCGGTGTCGTAGCCGTGTCGTATCTTATCGTAGCGGTGTCGTAGCCGTGTCGTATTTTACCGTAGCCGTGTCGTATCTTACCGTAGCCGTGTCGTGGTCGTGTCGTATCTTACCATAGCCGTGTCGTAGCCGTGTCGTAGTCGTGTCGTGTCTTACCGTAGCCGTGTCGTATCTTACCGTAGCCGTGTCGTAGTCGTGTCTTATCTTACCATAGCTGTGTCGTAGCCGTGTCGTATCTTACCGCAGCCAAAACTACGCGTTGTGATGAATTACTGAAAGAAAGAAAACAGGAAAAAAGATATGTGAGATTCAACAGTGGCATTTCTACAAATCGAGGAAGAAAATCCGGAGAACTTTTAGAAAATTTCTTGAAGCACAGGAGAGAACCAACAAGCAACTTTACTCACATACGACACCGAGCCCGGGAATTGATCCGGCTCGCATTGGCGAGAGGCGAGCGCTCTCACCGCTACACCACGTGTGATTTCCAATTGTCCTGTAAGACAATGGGAAGCCATTTCAATATTTTCATTTTCAGCGATGCGTGCGCATGCACAAGCAAGGGAGCACATTAAAATTTTGTTTGTGTAAGGAAAGTCATTGTTCCTCGTAGTGTTTTGGTTTCGGCCGATCCGAATGGCTTACGATCGTGTAAGGAAGGGAATGACGAGTGTAATAGGACCCTCCCTTTTTACACGTCGCTCCGCTCCTCGCAAGATATTCGTCGGTTTTCGGAGTAAATTCGCTAGCCCGACTAAAGCAAGGAACGCCTGCCATGAAGTGTAGCGCGCGCACGTAAACAAGCACTACAAGGAACGCCTGTCATATCTTAGATTACGTGCGATAAAATCGAAGATAAACCAACACAATCAAAATTTTAACGTGCTCCCTTGGCACAAGCAAAAGAGATTGAAAGTGCTTATGCTTGCGTCGGCGTGCGCCGCTAGTGAGAACCGCACTACAATGATCACAGTTTGAAGTTTGAATAGTAGAGTGATTTTATATTTAACCCTTGAAGAAAAATGACTATTTATTCAGTATTAGTTGATAAAAATAATAAATAAAAAAAAGAACAAAAGAAAACAATGGGTTTAGAGTTTACTACCAACTATTACTCGTGCTATTTTTTCACGGGTCAAATAAAATCACTCTATTATGCGCGATAATCCCTGTAGGCCAGGATGTATTTACTGACTAGAACTGTTATCTTATTTGCTTCAGATATTAGCTGGGATATTAGCTGTTCAGGTAATATGAGGTTAACAAATGTGACTAATTTTCTAAGAGTAATGAGGAGGTTCATCACAGAAATAACTGTACGTTTTTATTTTCCGGGAGATAATATTCTTGAGGCATTTCTATGCGAAACGTGGATGCATAGGCACCCAGTAAATATTCACCTTCCAAAGATCTGTCCCTGCATCAGACCTCCCCTCCAACCTCTCCATCTAACACTTGACTAATTCTACCTGATCAGATTTTAAAAAAGCATTTAAGGCGCTTCTGTTCACATTAAGAGTTCATGATTTATACCCTGGCTCAACGAGGAGCATATTTCCAAAGACATGTTTCCCGCGCGCAATTTCCCAAGTTTAGCCGCATGCGAAACATCGCTGCGTGCAACAAATTTTGATTCCAAGACGAAAAAACATTTCATGCTTCTAAGACACTTTGAAACGATGTTTCAACATTCTAAAAGTTAGTTACTTAGCAACCAGCCCTAAAATCAAGGGTCATTTGAAAATGCGCATGCGCCAAACTATGTTGGGTAAACAGGTTTGCCGATATTTCCTGACAGCTTTCCCACCTTTGGAAAACATTTAAGGAAACATGTTTGCGGGACAACATGTTTCCTCGTTTAGCCAGGGTCTTAGGATGATTGGCATATTTCCCTTCGCAAAACTCAACACGCTAATTGCCCTATTTCACTATGACGTCACTGCTTGTTTATGTGGGGGATAGAATCGCCAAATCCAATAGAAAATTCAACAAAATCTGCTCCTAGCGAAACAGTTTTATCTAAAATGACCTGGTTTTCAGCTATAATATGTGTTAATGTGTACTAAAAATTATACTGAGTGTTTTTTGGTTATTTTATTTTTTCGTGGATTGGTAGGGGTTTTAGAACAATTTTCGGTGAATTTGCGTTGATTTGACCCCCTCCGACGACCATGATCCTTTGCGTTTAAACAATAGATTGTTTTGATGTGAAGTCATAGTGAAATAGGGCAATTTCTTTTAGAGGTTATGCACCATCACGTGACGGTAGCCATGTTAGATGGCAGGAAAGATTCTCCCCGTAACTTGAATGTTTCGTTCAGACTGAACGGATTTAATAACGTATACTCTGTCTCTTGATTCAGGGCGTAGTTTTAGCTGTATTTAGCACGTGCGAGGCACTTATGAAAACCTCCAGCAGGTACTCAATGTAAATCGTTTGGATTACTTTTCTTAAATTCATTTTCCTTTTTTTTCATCTGCCACCAATTTCTGGGTCTCTGGGTCTCTTAATACCCTCCTCCCCC